GGCGGGCCGTGTGCGGGATGTATCTCCGCAGGGCTGTCTCGAAGACCCTGGCGCTGCCGTTGAGGGCGCCCTCCAGCCCCGCGCCGCTCCGGAAGGACGGTGAGTGCCAGGCGCTGTCCCCGGCGCCTCCCTCGCGGTCCAGGCCGGAGGACAGGAGCTTCGCGCGCATCCCGCGGGCGCCCCTGTACCTGTCCGCCCCCGGTGGGCCCAACCCAACCCGGAGCAGCGGAAGCCAGAGTTGTGGGTGGGGGGTGGGGAGAAGTGGGGGAGGGTCGCAGGGAAGACTCCCCGAAGTTCTTGGAGACTTTGAAAGTAGGGAACCTTTCCTGCGCGGCTTCTGAATCCGCACTAGACTTCCTGGGTTCGAATCTTGATCTTGGGCAAGTAACTTCACTTTCCTCATCTGTAAAATGGGAGCTATAGTGGTTGAGTTTTAATGAATTAATGTGTAGTTAACGCACTTAGAAAAGTGCTCGGTTAACATACGCTTGGCTTACCCCTTATTGCTGTGGGGACCTATGCGCTCTCCAAGTTCAAGGGGAAGCAGAGGCTCGGGGTTGAGGGGAAGGTAGGCGCCGACCAGCGAGCCAGGCAGGGTGCAGGACAGCGTGTCGACCGAGTGGAAGGTGGTTAAGGCTCTGGAGTAAATAAACTCAATACTTGGCCCGGGCGCGGCAGCCTCGATCCGAGAGCCTGGGCCCTGGCATCCCCCGGGCGAGGAAGTGCCTTCGAAGCACTTTTCTTGGCGCTGCAAATAGACCTGGAGCTGTCCAGCTGTTTGCCTCGGACGTCTGTGTATCTCTCACCTTTAGATGAGCGAAGTCGTGGGGCAAGGGAGCGTATTCAGAAGTTTCCTGTGAGGGTTGGTTAGTTGCACTGCGAGCTGGAAGCTTGTTAATTGACAGGCACTGAAAGCGCCCAGCACAGTGCCCGGGACGTCGTAGGTGCTCGCGGTGGCCGTGGGCGTCTCCGTCAGCACCTCCAGGTTCGCGACACCCTGCGGGTCTGCCCCCGCCCGCTCTTTCCTAGTCTCCATCGGTGTCCCCTCCCTTTTCCGCGTCCCGATTGGGGGGCTGCTCCTAGGCCACTTCGTGGAAAGTTCTCAGTTCTCCTTTCACGTCGCTTCCCTCCCTAAGGCTTGTCAGGCAGCTTTAGCCCAAGTTTGTGCATTTGAGCCGGAGAAAGAGAGAGACTTTCGTGGAAAATTCCACGGGCCAATTTGCTTTTTTCACTTCGATTTGGCCTGTGCTGCTGATGGTGGTGGGAGGCAAGGGAGGGCTGTCCAACTAGCTTTATTCGTCTCATAAAATGCAGGTGGGAAGAAGTTGCCTTACAAGTAACGGAAATAAAGCGTCTTCGTTCTCCTTGATCTTTACATTGAGTGAGGTAGAGCAATTTTTTTTTTCACTGATGAAATGGGAGAAGCCATTCATCTTAAACTTCTGAAGGCAAAGGCCTGTTGTAATGGGGGTGTGGGTGGGGAAAAAGATGAGACCGCTGACCTGGCCTTTGGAGCCCTTATCTGTCTGTATCCCCCCGGTCATCTCGCACCTTTTTTTTTTTTTTTTTTTTTTTTGCTGCACATTTTTCAAATAATTTCCTCTCCAACTTGAGGCAAAAGAAAAGTGGTTTAAAATTTCTAAATAAGTAGTTATCAATACTGGTTGTAGCAGTACGGGCCTTTGTCTAATTTTCACCGAATCAGTTTTTTGTAGCACTGGTTTCCTTGTGTATTTGTAGAACTATTATTGACTGGACATTTGGCTTCAGTCATGGCCATCAGTTAACCTTTTATTGATTCTTTCCACTGATGACAAATAAAATTGTTTCAGTTTTATGGAAGGATAACATTGTGACTGCCTCATCAAATTTTGTTCTCTGGTTTTTCCTTTAAAAATGTAACTTTTTAATGAAAAAATAATTTAGGTTTATAATAGATCATTGGGGAAAAAACACAGAAAGGCAAAATTGAAGTCACCTGTAATCCTACTGCTCAGTGAATACCATTATTTACATTTTAGTATATATAATGTTCCACACCTTTTTCCCCCCATGCATTTTTTTCCCCTTATTCGTATTGCTCCCACAAATCTGGGATAGTCCTGTATAGATTACTTTGATATAACTTTTCACTTAATATGTTGGCAATATTTTCTCAAGTAAGTAAATATTCTTCTGGAAAATTTATAATGTCTATTTGTTTCCCATTGTATGAATATGCTAAAATTTGTCTAATTAATCCTTATTGAATATTTATTTCTCATTTCATTGCTCTTTTAAATAACTTTGCTGTAATTGTATTTAAGTCTTTACTTAAATCTCTAATAATTTTATTTATTTATTCCTATTTTAAAAACCTTTTCGATATTTATGTCTGGTAGACAACTATAAGACTTACATGTTCCCTATTTAATAGCAGATGTATTTTTAAACCAATAAAAACCCTGCAAGTCAATGCCATAACCTCTTATCATAGCCTATTGGGGCACATTTGTAGGGAAACTATTTTTTTCTAAGAGATGGTGATTTATATTCAAACTAAGAACATATATGCAGATTTTTTCCAACTGTACTACTACAAAGATTCGTAATCAGTGCAAATTTCTTAAGATGTGCCCTCTGCAAATCGTAAGTTCTTACTAGTCCCCCGCACCCATACTCTTTATGTCAGGCCACATCAAATTACTTTACCCTTTGCCAGTCACACAACTCATACCACATGTTGTGCCTTCTGCCACCAGTGCAGTTTCCCTTCCTTTATTTATCTGACAAAGTCCCGTTTTCCTTCAAAACTCAGCTCATGACTTTTCAATAGCGACAGCTACCTTGAGCCAACTAGCTGAGTTGTGTGTGTTTTTAACTTCGTTTTCATGCTGTTGCAGCTTCTACTTACATCTATGACAGCATATGTCATACTGCATTGAAATTATTGTCTGAAATTATATGTCTGAACATCTGTTCCTTTTTCCTAGATTATGAGCTACTTGAGGCCAGGAACCTTGTGTGTCTTGTTTACAGTTAATCCTAATGCTTCTAAGAATGCTGAACACATAATAGATGCTCAGCTGTACTTATTGATGGATAAATAAATGTCTCTACATTTTTATCTGTAAAATAAAGAATTTGAGCTCTGTGAACTTTAAGCTCCTTCTAGGTCCAAGTCTACTATAAAAATTCAGTTCCAGGGAATGTGATACATAGAAATTCTAGCACTACAGAGTAAACACATTTAAGTATAAGAACACAGCACTTTTACTTATTTCTGTTAGTTTGTACAGAATTGTAATTCTATTTCAGACATGATCTTGTTGCAACATTTACCTTAGAAAAGCTTCTCACTGCCCACTTTAAAGGCTTTCTAGTAGAAAAATATATCTACATTTGTATTATGGATTTATAGAAGTGTGTTATATTCCAACATACATGTTTTATTTAACATATAAATTTTAAGTACAAATATATTTAATTCCTTTTTTGGAAAAAAATAATCTTTTCCACTAAATCCTGAGGTGGAATCCATACAGTAAATGGATTTCTTTTGCTTATATGCATCTTGTTTGACAGTTAAAATTATTTAGTACTTTTCTCCTTACCCATGCCTGCACTCCTTCCAAGAAAAGCATGGTGCTGAACATCGAAATGACAGGTTTCATAAGTACTTGTCAAATTAGATTGGGAAAATGTCAAGTGGAATTATTACCATACTTCATAATACCATATTCCCTTAAGCTAAAGTCACTTGATGTTAATAGATTCTAGGCTCACTGAGCAGAAATTTTTTTAAAGACATAATTATTTAAATAGTTTTGCTTAAGTGGTGAAGCTAACTGTGTTTAAACTTGTTTTCCTAGCATCTCTTCGCTGGATGTCATCTAACAAGTTTCCTGGATTATCTGGATCAAATATGATCTACTGTCTGGTTGTAGGTGTCACGGTCAGTGCTGGTGGATACTATGTAAGTGTTTAACCACAGTGTTCAGGAATTCACATATTTTACAACCTATGGTAAAACTCAAAGCAATGTTAAGGTCAGGATATGGGATTAAATAACAAGATTATGAAGCTTTTTAAAGTATAAAATCAATATTTCTTAATACCACTAAATATGGGTGACTTTCAATAAAAACAATGTTATTATAGATACTACTAATAATAGCTGGCCGGGCGTGGCTCAGCGGTTGAGCATCAACCTAGGATCCAGAAGACCACAGTTCGATTCCCGGTCAGGGCACATGCCCGGGTTGTGAGCTCTACCCCAGTCTGGGGCGTGCAGGAGGCAGCCGATCAATGACAACTCATCATTGATGTTTCTGTCTCTCTCTCTCTGAAATCAATAAAGATATATTTTTAAAAAAACATTGGCAATAACCTAATTTGTACTAAAAAAAAAATAAAAATAAAAATAATAGCTGACATTTGAGTGTCATGTGATAGGGCTCATTTAATAATTACAATAATTCTATAAGGTAGGTACTATTATTAACATTTAATGAGAACTGTTTTGAAGGATTAACTTTTTAAAAAATTAATAGACTTTCTTTTTTACAGAAAAATGAACAGAAAGTACAGACAGCTCCCATGTACTTCCTCTCGCCCCGTCCCTGCTTTGCCCTATCAACACTTGCTTTAGTGTGGTACCTTTGTTACAACCGATGAGTCAATATTGATACATTACTACTCACTAAAGTCCATAGTTAAGGTTGGGCTTCACTCTTTGTGTTGTTCATTATATAGGTTTTAACAAATGTATAATGACATGCATTCACCATTACAGTTTCATACAGAGTCTTTTTACTATCCTGAAAATCCCGTGTGCTCCACTTATTCATTCCTCCCTCCCCCAATCTTTTTTACTGTCTCCAGATTTGTATTAGTTTTATATCTTGTTTTTCAAAAGTTACGATCATAATTTCTTTAAAAATTTAAAAATAGACATATATAAAATTTTATAAGTTTTCCTCCATGGTCCCATATCTAC